GTGTGTTCTATTAATGCTACTACCGGTCGTATTCTCACTATGGTTCCCTTTTTTTTCCCTTCCTTCTCTTTCGTACGAGTAGGCACTTAGCTATGTTTCTGCGGTTTCTTGTAGTATCGTAAACGTTTTTTTTGTATATTTTTTTTTTTTGTTTAAATGTCTATTGTACACGACGGAGAGATTAACCGGGTGGAGAAAAATGGAAATTGCGATATAGAAGCCTCCCCTCTTAGTCTTTTTTTTTTTCTTTTAATCTTCTTCCGAGCTCGATCGTCCGATTTCTATATAAAAAATTCTTTACCATAATCGAAGAGGTTAACCCCTCTATATTTCTCATAGACTGTAATTTTCTTATTATTGTTTCTTCGTTCTTATCGTTACTCTGTCTAGAAGCGAAATGTAGGAAAAATGTATCGTACGAAATCTTACGATCGTGACTCTCTTAATAGTTTCGTCTCTTTCACTCTCATACTCCTTCAGTGTTCACTCTCGACGTTCACGCTCGCTCTCTCATGCCATGCACAAGCGTCAAAGCGTGTGATATTTCCTCTTCCTCCTCCTCTCTTCCTCCTTGCTTCTTTCTTCTTTTTTCCTTCTCATTGTGATTTTTTTTTTCTTTTGTTTCGTTTCGTTTTGGAACTTTTAATTAGCACCGTGTCTTTCGTGGATTATAGTTTTCGAGAATACGTCCATCTTTTTCTCTTCGTTCCACGCATGCACACGCTCTCTCTCTCGCATTCTTTCATTCTCTCGCTCTGTCTCTGTCTCTCTCTTTCTTTCTTTCTTCAGGAAGTTTCCCGCGATCAACGACAACAAGGGGAGTTGAACGAATGCTTTTCTAGGTTAAACATTCGTTCAGTTTTCTCAGTATTCGTATGAACAACGGTGGAAATTCTAAAATCTCCGGGTGATTGCGTGAAACGCCTTCATCATGACTGATCGTTCTCGACGAAAGACACTGAAATAGCCTCAAACGAATTCCCTTTTTCAATTGACACATTAGTTACAACTATTAAAAGCTTCCAGGTATTGATTCTGTCCTTTTGGATGAATCATTAAATGCTAACTTTATCAAATACTTGAAAATGCATTAGTCACATTAGATTGCACCATATTTAAAATTCAAAGTTACTAGTATAGCTAACTTCACAGAAAATTTTAGGATACACTGGTACCAAACACTGCTAGTATTCTCAGAATTCTAATCATAGTACTGCATCACAGTCTAGAAAGTAATGGTGCAATTTAAACACTGACGTAAAGAAACACTTTCAAGAAACACTGTTTTCAGGTCTTTGATAAAGCCAATCACAGTACTGAGTTCATCTTTCAAAAACATCTGACTAAATACGTGGAAGCCACAAACAGTTTCAACCTTAAAAACCCAAGTATCCACCTCCTAACAACTTGGAGGATTTCATTCACAATATCTCTAAAAAACAAAATATAAAAAATATCGAATTTGTCGTTTCTTCTAGGAACGCCTACCATTATCTCTTTCGTCCAACGTAATCGCTCTAAATGAAGGCTAGTACGCATTTCTTCGTTCTCCTTCATTGAGGAGAATGCTGTTTTCTCTCACCCTTCGAATGTTAATTGTTCAAAGCACGTTTTAAAAAGTTGTAAAAAAAGACGCGTCCGGATCGCGTCATTCTCTAATGGTAATAAACGACCTACGAATATACTCTACACGAAAAATCAGGTAACAAGATACATGGTGCACACACACACACACAGAGGTGAACTGTACCGACGACAAAATACTGTATTCAACTTCGAACATGTTTTAACATTGCTTCGAATGGAACATGATGTGACATCACTTTCGGATAATATATTATATGCTCAGTGAATCGTAAACGAACACGCGAACGCATACGGTGAATGTGATACGTACCCGAAATAATTTTTTTTTTCTCATTTTTTCGCTCGAGGATCGTATTCCAACTTTTCTCTATACCTAGCGACGTAGTACAAAAGTACAAAATACGTTCGTTTCACGCCACGCGTGCATTTTTCTTTGTGAAAAACGAAATCCAAACAAGCAATTTTCCTGTACGTTGCTTTTTGTTTCGATTTCATTTGTTTTGGAACACAATCCGACGAGTCTTCTCTCTTCTTGAAATGAAAAAGGTTCATGACACGACTTACATAGAAGCTCAGCTTAAGAGTACAAGTTTTTCTAATACGTTACGTATTCATTTTTTTTTTCTTTTTAAACTTCTCCTAGAAGCAATTAGACATACTCAGTCTTTCCGCGATACTCAATGTGTTTCGAGCAGTTTACCATTGAGCGAATCAGTTAGAATTCATGTTTTTAGAAAAGTGTGTTTCTTTTAACCTCTTGTTCCTTTTTTCTGACACAAAGTTGAGGTCTCTTTGAGGTTCGTTTAAGTATTACAAAAATACTTATTCCGAAGCTCGATAGAGATTAAATCATCGATGTGGCAAAATGCTTCGATAAGGGATTAAAAGTGTACAAAATAAAATTTACTAACGTACCATGATACGGCTCGTTATTGCAACATGTCTTCTTGATCGAATTAGTTCTTGGAATCAACTTTGATGCTTGATTGACAATGTACACATAATGTATCAGTTTCTGGCCAATAATATCAAGTACCTTTTGATTAAACCAGTAGAATTACTTTCGATAATTCTATTTAACCTTCAAGCATGCGAGGAAGTTCCTACGAATCACTGACTAATTTTTAAGAATTAGTCAATCCAGTACTTGATACAGTATGACATAACTAGATATTGTTCTGATACTTAATGTACAAATGTACGTAACAAGGCTAATGCCAAAAATTGACTCCAAGGAATATTAGAAACTTCTATATGTCTAGTTATGCATGGTTTATAAAATTCTTATTGGCTTCTCGTTTGTTTGGCACCCACTTTGTCGGTTGTTTCATCACAAAAATGAAAAACATAATATGCAGAACAGCGTGGTGAGCACCGTAGCAACTTTCGTTAGCCGAAATGTTCGATACTTTGATACCTCGTGAAATTCGTTTTAATTATTAATCGTCCGTATACCGAGCATGTGTTCTCTCATGTAAAGAATTCTCTCAGCTACTTCAAATACAAAATGACTCATGTTACAAACGATTTACGAAATTGCGTGAAACATTTACGACGTACACACAATATCGAAGGCACGAGTTGCCATCTTTCAAACGGAATATTCTCGGTGATTTGCGTTTCTTCAAGGAAGAGAGAAAGTCAAGAAGTTTGGTTCGCTTTTTTGTCTTTTACTCATAGCCCCAGGAACAAGTTTCGAACGAAATCGACGACTCTAAATAAACAGCATTGAACTGTCAAGTAAGAATGGGCCATGATACGTCACAGGCATGACTTATGCTAATTTTTTCTAGTGCGGTCTCACCTCGTCATTGAAAGTTTTATAGAAGAATGGACTCTACTTCGAAGGGCAAAGATATTTATAAAAAACATTTATATAGTGTACTATAATTATAAAGATCGTTAACATTTTCTCTACGCCTATCACGAATATATTCATTAAATTCTAGCAAGATGATCGGGTGCTTATAAACTCTAAGCGAATGATTTTGGTACCCTGGATAATTGCTAATAGTAAGTCTAATTTATTTAAAGATTATCATCTATTAAAAACGCAAACAAAAAGAAAGACTCGTCTCATACGTTTTTAAATCCATTGTGTTGGAATTTAAATATCGACTGCAAAAAAATGGATTAAATTAAAGAAAAAAACTAAATGTATTTAAGTGTTCAAGAAATAAAAAAAAGTATTAATAGTTGTAATTGCCTCTGTATTGATTATTACTTTGAAAGTAAATAATCGATTTTAACGTCGTGCGCCCATTTTGTGTGTAATGTCTATTGTATATGAGAACTTACGATCATTACAATATACGAATAAGAAGACATTGACTGTTCGCTTGTTTTTAGATTTTTACGCGTGCTTTTTTTTCTCCTAATTCATTAGGATACACGTAGCAACATTATTATTGTTATCAAACAAATAAAAAAGATACTCTATATTCCATATCAGGAAAGAAAAAAGTCACGAAGTAAAAATCTAACTCAATGCACATCTTATTCCACTATAATCGGGGACACGAATACGAAAGGATCTATTCACTTCATAAAGTGCAACTTTCAAGGAAACCTAGCAAAAGGATTTTCAAAAGAACGTATACCTTCTAGTATTCTACATACTCATTGAGTGAATCACAATATAAAAATACAAATCGAAGATCTCCCTCCTCTCCTTCATTCTCATTTATCATTGACTTTCTGATCGTTCTTTCCTCTTTTTCTTTTTTTAGCTTCTTTGCCTTGCAACAATGTCCTTTACAAATGCACTTCGTTAGAATAAGTTACTTCTCTTTAACGTTTCTTTTATAACTTGGTGTTTGTCCTTCTGTCGACTCAATTGATAGTCTCTTACTGATACAACGCCTCACGACGACTGTTTTGTTTCGAATTATGTAACACCAAATGCTTCTCCCTGATTAATTACTCTCTCAAAACGACAATCAATGACATGTGCAACGGAGCTGTTAAATATCTCGTGATGAAAGTAACTATTCTTGAATGTGCGAATCACCTAGTATCACTGACAACTCATGGTCCATGAACACGTGTGACAGAAACAATTCGGTCCTAACCACGCATGTACAAATAACCACAGATTGCTATAATACCCCCACCAACAATTGCGGCGCCTATGCCTATTGAAAGGGGCTTAAATAATGACCTCTTGAGCTTCTGCCATTCTTCAGTCTCCTTTTGTCGACGCTTCATCTCTCGTACTTGTGCTGCCAAACGTTCCTTCTTCTCTTTATTACGTTGACGTACTTCGTTTTTGCTATTTAGATAAAATAAATATAGAACAGAACGATACTAAACTATACAGATATGATTTACGTGAATTATCTTCAAGTAACTTACACATCTGGACTGGACGGAGGACTAATTGTCTGTAAAGAGTTTTCACCGTCACTGGTATTATCGTTAGGCACTACAACACCATCGGAGTTCCTTTCATGTAAATTGTTTGTGATTACTGTAGAGTTTGCACCAGTCTGTGGACTAGTGGTGGATGTTTCTGTGGAAACTGATGGCTCTCTGGGTAATGGTTTATCAGGCGGACCACTTACTTCTTCTGACATTAAACAAAACAAAAAAATTATACATTGAAAAAAATATATACTGTTAAACATTGATTATTCACACATTCTTACCATTTTTTGTTATTGGTATTGAAGTTAAGTCTGCCATCATGCTACGTGTTAAGGATTCACCTCTTGGAGGTGGTAAAGGAGGTGGTTCTTCTTCATCTTCACTTGAAGAATTATAAATATTACTTACCACGTCGTAATGATTTGTTCCTACCTCATTATTAATATTCTGTAAATAGCACAGATGTTAGTGAAGGTCAAGGATTACAATGTACCACAGTAGCACAATATTATTAGAGTTAGTTCACATCAAAGTTAAGATCTTTTACAAACAAACATATTTACAAATGACATACAATGAAACACTCATTTATAAAAATTCAGAAGAAGGGAGCTAATAACATTGTACCACTGTGAATTGGTATTAGTTACCACGTTGTTGGATGGCAACTGTTTTGCTCCTTCAATGATAGCAGCATATGAAAATCTTAGTTGATCTGGTGTTTGAATTAAACCCATTCTGCGTTTCCTCATTTCTACCAACACATCCCTAACATTCACAGAATTCAACCCATTTTCTTCAATCTATAATAGAATAAAAAAACGTCTTCTTCCTGTAATTTTTTTACTTATTGTTTAGCACGAATAATGCTTACCAAAACAAGACAGGTATCAACTAAACAAAATGTTCCTGATCTTCCAATTCCTGCAGAACAATGTACTACAGGAGGGCCAACATTTTGATCTAATGCTCCTGACTGCCTCACATCTGTTAAGAAACGTAGAAAAGCTGTTGGACTTTGTGGAACACCAAAGTCTGGCCAAGTGTTATAATGAAAATGTAATATTTCTCTACTTTCTTTTGTTTCCAAATCAGTTAACCTGCAGAAAATACAAGTGTTAAATGAAACATACTTTAACCATATTATATACATGCTAAATGATGTCTGCAATTTAATTCTTTATTTTTTCATACTTTAATATTCTAGTTGTGTAATCTGATGATTCTGTTTTGCTGATATATTTTACTTTTATACCAACATCCGCAAATACCATATTAATCATTGAATCACCAAGAGGCCAATACTGATAACACTTAACGTGATTCTTTTCGATTATTCTATTTAACATTAACACAGCTTTAGAATTTTGCTCCCATACCATTAGCCAAAAGTGGCTAGCAGTATTTTCCAATGGTCCTTGAGTAAGGATGTATCGTCTATGGGCATCATCTGCCTGTAATAAAAAAAACTTATTACTGTATTCTTTTCAGTTAGAATTAAGTATCTAAATGCAATATTTACCCATACGAGGTTAGCATTGATATAATCACATGGACCTCTCTTAAGAATGATCCTACTATAATCATATGGCAAAACATCTCTATAACGGTTCAAGTTTTTATTCTGTGGCTTCTTTGATTCATTGCATGTATATAAAAAACTGCTGGTTTCATTACGTATGTGCTGTAAAAGTAACATCCTTTAATGTAATACCTACGGTTAAGTCAAGATTGAGCAGGAAATACATGAAAATAGTAATAATCTTTATTTATTCAGTGGAAGCATATGTTTTGTTTAGTACCTGGTAAACAAATCTTACACTTCTACTTATCAATACAAATTCTACTACTAAATATATACCTGACACGTATATTTTAAACCAAGACATTTGACCTTGACAATAAGATCACAATGCACAGCCTATGCAGCGTTCAACAATTTTCCCGGGAAAACCGCTTTCCGAGAAAGTGAAACGATTTGTCCACGTATTGAGAAACAATTCGTGCACTGTAAATATCCAGGGAAAAAGGAGCGTTACGGGACGAGAGATAAAGAATACAAATGCCGCGCTGAACTTCTGGGCGCCCTGTTATCGTATCGGATCGCTTCGTCGTGCAGTATAAATCAAATCTATTTGTAGAGCATAAATTAATCGAGCACGTTGCCCAGCAGCAAAAATCACGAAGGAAGTCGAATGCGACCGAGAACAGTCCCAGCACGATAAATAAATCAAATTCCGATAACAGACGTGTGACATGCACACGCTGCACAGGTTTTCCATTCAGCAAGCGGTAGGTAAGAGGCCCGTTAAAAATTAGCGAGCGTACTGTTTAATCTTTAGATTGATGATAACCAGTGGTTAGTGTCCACGTTATGAGTTTCGATCAGCAACAAACATTGTTGAATGAGATGAAATGAGATTTCGTGGGTCGGCTATTGGCGGCCGTGTCAGCGGGAAACAATTTCGCGAACAGTCTTGCGTTCAACGAGTGGTATACAAGGCTGACACATTCGCAGGCAGTAATTGTCGTTTCTCGTTACGGAAACCGGAAGGAAAGACGCAAAAACGGAAGAAGAACGGGAGAGGAAGGGGCGATCTTTTTACCTGAAAGAGGACCGCCCAAGCTTCTTTCGTGTTGATCTCGTGGTACTCGGTTTCTACGTTGCTGATCTCTTGCTCGAGCGTCTCCTGGCTGGTCATTCTGTCGGCTCGTTCGCGACTCGGTCTCTCCGGCGCTCGAAAACGACAAAACGAGACGAAGCACGCGAAGAGGCTGGGCCCCGGCCGCGCACGATCTTGCTCTCTCTGTCTCCGAGAAAAAGGCGTCTCAGGCACGAAGCGGTGCCATGCGTGACGCGGATTCTTGCGAAGGGCAGTCCCCGCCGCACGGGAGACGAAAACGCGCAACCACAGCTCTCTAGACGTACGTATACCTCTGCTCTCTACCGTACACACTGCACCACTCGCGGACCCAACCACCACCGATCGCTTTAGCTGCCGCCGCCGCTGCTACCAGCGCGAAATACGAGCCAACGTGCTGACATCTTCGGGAAACCGGAGTTTCTATCCCCCTCTTTTTATATCTTTTTCTTTGTTACCGCCGAATGAGATCGGAGCAATGTTCGGCGCCATGCTGTAATGACGCACACATGCGCATTGATGAGCGCCAAATAGAATTGTTTGATGGGATTGGTTTTTCGTATTTTTGAAAATATTTTATTTTTTATTAATTTTTGTAAACGTATAAAATGTCTATTACTGAAACGTGAGAAATTGAAGATACGTATATAAAATACAGTAATGTTTTATTTTTAATACTGAAGTTTACAATGGAATGTATATTATTTTGATTAATTTAGAATTATGGATAAGTATACCCTATACTTAATAATTACAAATTAAAGGAAAGTTTTATTTCAAAGCGTAAATAAATTTTTCATCCCAAAAGCCAAGTATTATTACTGTGGCACTTATTATTTACTACTGCAATGTCTAATATAAAAGTATAAAAACATAATTTAAATAAATAAATATGTTTAAAAATACATTAAAAAATACTACTATTTACTAGTATTATAATCTTAGTTTGCACTTTCGTAACAATAAAATTTTCCTGAGATTTCATTTGCTGTCTTGGATTAATAAATTACTTCTCCTTCGCAATTTTGGGTGGTTTATCGTCATTTTTTTCAGTTTCGGTACTTCTTCTCTTAGCTGACTCTGCAGACCCCTTCTTTAACCAAGAAGCCATAAAACTAGTAGGGTTGTTTTTTTTCTCTGCTCTGTATATAATGGAATTAGTAAATCAATAGTCTGGCATGTCACTTCACGGGATTAAAAGTTCATAAATCGAGCAATGAAACGCTAATTGCGTGATTCTATATGTATTTATATACATACACAGCCCTTGCCTCTTTTCTGCAATCTGCACTTTTACATAATACACTGTTTACCATAGTTGAAACTGTATACCAACTTAAATCACCGTCTGATAACGTTAATTTCTTTAATTTGTCAACAGCATTAGCTACTGATAGTTTCTCACTTAGCCAAACCTGGTATCAAAGATAGAAATATAATAAAAAATTAATTTATTTTTAAATATGTCTTTGCTACATTCATATATACATTTATTCATTTATTGTGTTACCTGTGAATCTTGTTCTGTGCTTAAAAACACAGGTACACGATTATGCATCCAAGAGAGGACACTGTTTGACTCAGTTGTAATTATTGTACAACTATGTATTGTTTTGCCCTGAAATGTAATTTACTCCTGTAGTTTTCCATTTAAATGCCATGCATAAATTTACTATCTTGTATTTACTTCTACAGTTTTAAATGTATTAAAAATTCCTGCCATCTTCAAAACTTTATATCCTTTCCACCCATATTCTTCAGACCAGTCATCTTTCCATGTTGTAGAATCATCTGCTTTTACTCCCTTTTTCTGAGCAGCATAAATATAATATGGTTGCTTAGAATCCTTTTTTGTTTTACCAGCTTTCCATTCATAGTACCCGTCACAAACTACAATGCATCTCTGTCCTTTGCGAAGTGGACCACTATACAATTTAGAATTTTTAATGTTTTCAAGTCGTGCGTTATGCGTCGATAGAGTGCTCTTTCTGTAATCTCCCTGGGAAAAAAATATTTATGTTTCCTTTATGTACCAATAAAAAATGACAAGAAAAAAAAATCATTGTTATCTTTTAACGCGATACGATAAGCATTCATCATGTTTAATTGTTGATAATTAAATGGCAACCACGAGAGCATATCCCCATCCGTAAAACGTCATTCAACCTAACCTTGTTTGTAAACACTGACCTCGTGCCAGGGCGGAATCATGCTCCACATCATTGAACAAAGAACTCTCTCGTCCTCTTTGCCAAAGTGCGATCCAGAAACGACGCAGGGAAGAACGTCTTTAGGCCCGATATTGCTAGACGGGACGTATTCAACGGCGCTTTTGGTCCATGAGGTTGTGCGTCGTTTGCCAGCTGCATCCTTGTAGTCACAGGCACGGCACAAAGTATCCGGGTTCAGGGAACTGTAAAACCATTCGTGAGTTTCCTCTGTCGCTGGCAGATCATGATGTTTGCGTGTCATGAATTAATTACTGAAATTACGTGACAAGATTACTTACCAAGCCGCTCGACCACACATGTTTCTCGCGCCACTCCGACTACTTCGACTTACTGGTGCTACCTACGACGCACTATATCCAGCGGGAATTTATGAGCACTTAAAAAAACATGTTTTATATTGTTGAATAATGTTGGGACTTCTTGTTACGAAAATTGTAGGCTAATAATTTTATTCGGAATTTTGTATATCATTTTAAGCAGAAACTACATTTATTTTATAATGGGAAATGTATTGAGTTTGGTCGATGTTTATTTGCGCAGTTGCCGATAGAGGTAGACAGTTGTCCATGAAAGCATCATTGCTTCAAAGTCTTCCATTTACCGCCACTACTTAAACCATTTCCTACATTCGGTACATTTAAATAGTATATCGTTCGTTATACGATTGAAGTTGTGTGAAACATAATTATTACGCAAGACATATTTATCACTTACAAATCCCTTGAAAAAGAAATGAAAAACAAAGTATTGCGAAACTGTTTTTCAGAACTCTGGTTTGATCTTCCCAGAAAATGATGACCGTTAAATGCTTCCTGTCTGCGCAACTCCGAATTCTAAGAATCTTATCCTGGAAAGATTCCACTGAATGGAATGTATTCAACGTCATTTGTGATCCTAAAGTTATTATTAGTGAATAACAGCACATTGTAGCATCATTGTATTTAATTCATATTAGAACAATGACAGAGTATTAAACACTAACGTTTCATTATTCGCAATACAGATGAATTCAAGATCTTCAGATTTAAATTGAACCACCCCAAAGATAGGTAATTAAGAATTGAACTATTTCCAAGGTCGTATGTGAGATTCTTGAAATCGGGGGAGCCTACAAAGCATCAGAATTTTAAGAATGTTTGAAACTACTGACAACCCACGATCTTGAAGTCATGCCAGTCGTGTTCTACGATCTTGGGGAAATCGAACTAGAGGCTCTACAACACCAACGTCCTTAACCTCAACATTATATAACTCTGAATTCTCTAATCTATAGATCCTGTAATTCCATGACCTTAACTTTGAAATTCTACAATTTCGGGGTCGTTTCAACGTAGTTTCACAACCGCTATCATTCAAACGAAACCCATTCATTTTCAACCCTATCAGGTGAAGTCTGCGCTTTAGTGCACTTACATCGCATATTCCATTTCTATGATTTAAGGCGATCTTGCATAACACCAATGTCAACCTCGATATGCTAATTTTATTTAGTTTCCAGTGTGATGTATGAAATGTGATTGAGGTGCAGTACAACTTGACCCGATTGCACATTCTGTTGGCTTCTCGTAATTTCTGTTGGCTGCCCGTAAATGCAATTTCCTGAGTGTATGTAATAACCTATCTAATTGGTTTGGTGTCTAACCTCAACGTGCTGCGTCTGCAAAGAGAAATCGCGAAAAAGAAACGATCGCTTTTCTCGCGAAGTTCATTAGCGGCGCAAATTAGTGTCTATACTTGAACGAGCGCAGTATTTTCTCGAGGTGAAGCGGACCGAGTTCATTTGACGAGCATTCACGGTGCGTCTGTACGCGTATAAAAGGAATGTGTCCCCCTTCCCCGACGCGTTGCTCATTGTTCGGTCCTGTGGGCGCGGTTTGATTCGTCTGCTTTTCGAACCGATTCAATTCCTCGTGACATTTTTACCTTCTTTTTTTTTTAATTTTTTTGTTTGAAAAAAGTAAAGTTGACTCTTACGTTTAGAAAAAAAAGAATAATACAAGATGATAACAGGGTCCTCCTACGTTTCAATACCTTTCAGTTTCTCAATTTAATAACCAGCTTTTCATCTCTTTTTCTACTCTAATAATCGATTTACCGAGAGGCGTGAATAACGTTCCCCCCATTAGCATTTAATTAAAGCCTGATCGTTCCTTCGACTCGGTTCTACAATTATAATCATAAATTCCTCCCATAAATCCATTATTCCCTTTGTTCCACGTTTCGAATCTGTTGAAGTCAGAGTTAATGGAGGATTCTTAAGGTTGCTCTTGTTTCTTCTTTTTTCACTTAACTATGCCTTGAGATTTACCGTCTTCCCCCTTTTTTTCTTCTGTTGCTTAACCAGTTGCGTACGGACCATTAACATTCCAGAATACTTGCAGATAAAGCACGAAGGGCTCGAGGGGTGTTCTCATCCCTGCCTCATTCTCCCATGGAGTCCTGTTTTATCTCTCCCGAATTCCTGAACGCCAACTCATCGCGCCTCATTGTGATGTTGATGTCACGTTGGGAGCGAGGCATGTCCGCGCATTGATTCGCATGAATCAGAAATTGAAACGCGAAGTGTGTGCACACGCATTTCTGTCATTTTAAACCTATAATCTTAATCAGCAAAGAATGAAAAAGGAAATCAAATAAAAATTTCCATTGTCCTTTATTTACAATCTTTCTTGCAGAGTTGCACTTTAATTTAAATGATACATTCATACAAATGCTTGACAAGCAACATAGTTGCAGGATATGTTTTCAAGAGTATTTGTAAACAAGCCTTAAGTCATAATTCGGTACATAGAGATGGTGCTAATTAAGAACCGTTATTCCCCAACGGCATTAAACTAGAACACTAATCAAGACTATGTAGATACTTACCGGTGATCACCACCGATTCATCGCATGTTTTTATTAAAAATCAAACACGAAAACCCTGACCAGCAATGAAATTTCAAATCAAGCAACGGGACACATGGAAGGAAATAAGTGACTAGTTATTAAAATCGTAATGTGTTGCGAAACTAGCTTCGGGCGATTTTCAAGGGAGAAAAACATTAAACTGTTTAATGGTAATATATGTGCACCTTGAAAAATCATCGTCTGTGTTGAAAATGTGGTATCATCGATTAAAATGGAACTTTATTTGCTCGTGGCATCATCAAAGATGTCAAACATGCAGCTTGTGTCAGCTGTAACACCTTATAGTTTCCACGAAAGAGAATAAATTTATTTCTGACCTCTTCTCTTGACTTAACTTCTTGCATCTCCTAAGAGTACCTCCAACTTTTTCTATTCCTACCTTTTTAATTGTCATACTTTGCAGCTTTCACCATACCTCAACAGTCAAGTATTTCTAACTTCTAACCTAACCTCTTACGATATGAATTATTCAGAACACTGAACAAAGTCTTATTTTCTTTCTTTCTAATCTTCTTATCCTATTTATTAAGCCGTAAACCGATCGATAAAGTTGCAAATGATTAAAGTATCTTTTGTAACGGCATAGTCAACACGTTATCTACGCTCAAAATGGAATTTCACTCGCGGCCGGCGCGACGTGGTTCTTTTGTGCTTCCCTCGACGTTAAACGATTTCGAGAGACCGGTTTCATCCGCAGGTATTCGCGAACCTGGCGGCGCTTTCCCCCCGCGTTCTGGGAGACTGCTAACGACGCGGATGAGAGAGAATAGAAAGAGGATGGGTCGGAGAAACAGAAGAGCGAACCGACGCGGCGGGCGTTCCATTCGAACGGGAAAGAATCGTAATTTATATCGAACCGGTCGTAGGTGGTGCGTCTCATTAAGGCGGAGGAAATAATCGTGGATGAATGAACGGTGTCGTGTGGGTGGTTGTGATTGCCGGCAGACAACCAGAACGAAAGTGAAGCGTTCCACTTGTCTCAGGGTAATATGTCTTTTTTGCCTGAAATCTGAATAATTAACGATACCAGAAAAGACTACTATCTCATTATCTAAGTTAGGTTTACTATTTTCAGATCATTTTTTTTTTAATTTTTTCTTAAAAACTGTATCTTCTTTATGAGAACGATTGTATTTTCGCAAATAAAAAATTATATCTCAAAAATTGACAAGAGAGAAACAATTAGGTTAGATTAAGAAAAGATTATTTTCCTCTCAGTGTCTTAGAAAATTTTTGTTAAAATTTTACTATGAGAAATGTTTATTCTTTTTTATTGTACTTTTTAGTAGACAGTTTTTCTTCGTCAATGTTGCATCAGTGCTAATTTATTTACTTGAGGCTATTAATAGCGGACTAATTGGTTTAATCGAGCTAGGTTGAGACGATAAGAAAGTAGCAAGAAAAATAATAGTAATATCATAATAGCAAGATCAATCTCATATTCAATAGTTGTCGTAGGTAGTTTAAAGATATATAATCGTGTCAGTTAATGCTGTAATCAAGGTAGAGATCAGCTGATTCGCGGTGGTCTCGTGCGACACACGATCTGCCTGCTTTGTTACCCGATTCTGAACTTGGTAGTGGTTTGCTTCGTTTTTCACGCGGCCGAAATGCCTCCTGTATGAATGAACTCGATTGGAGGTTTACCGTTGGTTAAAAAAAGTGGCATAATTAGCGATCGTTAGTACGTTTGTTAACTATTTCTCTGTGCAATGTAATTTTCTTCTCCGTAACCTAACCTAACGCAACTGCATAAGAGATGGAACGAAGAGGAGAACTTGCTCGTTGAATTTATTACCTGTACACTTAATCACGCGAGTGACCTTGAATCTTATTACAGAGTCAATTTGGATTTTTCTTGTGACTTTGAAACGTCATGTACCCCTTGGCTTTTTGCACCCAACACGGTAAGAGGGTAATCATTCAAAGCGGTATCATGATCACCGTTCAACAGGAAAGAAAAAACCGGTGAAAAGAGACATAATAAGCCAGCAAGAAATCGCTCAAGGTAAACGTCGACCGGTAGGCATGACCGATTCCCCTTCTTCTTTCACCCTTTTTCTCGCTATGACAACTTCCTTCATCGAGCCTCCTTCTGGACGATGTGAAAGTGAGGGGACAGTGGTGCTCAGCTCTGCAAAAAAAAAAAAAATAAGCAAAACGTCTCTTCAGTTTTGACCGTGAAAATATCCAGTTCTGAAAATAATAAAATTCTGGTACTGTAATAATCTTCTGACAAGTGTAAAGAAGAAAATTGAACGTGATTTCCATTATTTATAAAAATTTCATAAAAAATAATATTCTAAATATTACAAAATTGTAGTTACATTCGTAAAACCATTCAGAATATTCTTATTTCATGGTTAAGTTAAGTTTGGTAGGTCTGTTCATGATAATAAAACCAATTCATAAAAATTGCTCTGCAACAATTAAATTGCCTTTTATCTCGCAAATCTCGCAAACGATGTTTACGTCGATTAAACAGCATGAAGCACGGAATGTTTTGTAGGTGGAAGCGTTCCACGGCGGGCAGTCGTCACCTGAACGGTGATTCGTGCAGTTTGAGGCCCGCTGACACCTGGTGCGCCACGACTTTGGTGAACACTTTGGTGGGGTCTCGGGAGCCTCACCGAGCCGCGCAAAACCAGAGACTTCAGTTGTTACCGCGACACCAGCGGAGCAACG